CTGAACTCTGAAGGAAAAAAGTTCCCGCCCTGCCCACCACGATCGCATTACTACAGCAAGAAAAAGCTCAGTATAAAATTGAAGTTTCAAATTACAGTATGTATTAAAAGGGCATATTTTCAGTATCTTATTTACCTTATCAATTGCTGAATCACCACTGCCAGACACACAGTAGGTAATTAGTCATATGTAATGGGCAATTGTAATGACTAAGTACTGTTGTCATCTTGGCCTTTAGGTACAAAGGCCAAGTGCTCTGTGGCAAGTCATTGGAGGCCACTGGCTCCCCGATAGCCTGAGATAGCTGTCTTGAACAAAGACAGAGGAATAGCTTATCATTCCTTGAGGCTGAGGATGAATTTAGAATAGTAATGATTATTTCTAACAGTTGCTTAATTGACTATCCTGGAAAATTTTTAAATGTTGTCATATTTTGTCAGAAAATACATGTGTCTGATGACTAACAATATCCATGTAAAGGCTATGTACTCAAAAAAAGATCCTCCAAAGTTTGTAAGAATAATGCTTAAGACCAAGGGCCTGGCATTTAGCTCAGTGGTACTGTGCCTGACTCGCAAATGTAGAACCCTGAGTTCAATCCCCAGTACCAGGAAAAAAAACAAACAAAACTGTAAGACCATACCTGAAGAATATAGCTGTAAAAGATGACCAGAATAAACATACATGTTATGTTATGGGATGAAAAGATAGCACATGTCTGTCTTTTACAAGTTAATCTGCAAATTTTTAAAAAATCACTTTAAAATGGCAAGTATTACCCGGGAAACTTTCAAGTTACTTCTAAAATTAATTCAAAAAGGGCTGGGGATTTAGCTCAGTGGTTCGGTGGCCTGCCTTGCAAGTGCAAGGACCCGAGTTCAATCCGGTACCAAAATGGAAACTTTCAAGTTACTTCTAAAATTAATTCAAAAAGGGCTGGGGATTTAGCTCAGTGGTTCGGTGGCCTGCCTTGCAAGTGCAAGGACCCGAGTTCAATCCCTGGTACCAAAAGAAAAAAAAAAAAGGAAAGATTGGCTAAATTGCCAAAGCCATAAAATTAATTCAAAAGTGAAGTGCACAAAAATACCCAAGAGAATTTCTAAAACAAGAGAAATGTTCTAACCTATACAAAAATGAAGTCAAACAATTAGAACGATCCATATAGAAAGAGACAAATAGATCAATAAAATAGAAAAATCTAGAGACGCATTAGATTTTACATAATATTTATTGATTGAATATAAAGCTGACATTTCACATCAATGCTGAAATGGTGGACCAATCAAATGGGGGTCAAGAAAAATCTGTGCGCATCAAAAGATCAAATACCTGACACCTGCAATGTAAGGAGAAGTTATTTTGACTCATGGTTCAGCTGGCTCCAAAGCAGAAATGTATGGAAGAGGGGTACAGTAGAGGAAAACTGCTCCCATCATGGCAACCAGGAAGCTGAGAGATAAGGAAGCAGTCCAGTCCAGCTCCCAGTGACCCACCTCCAACCAGGCCCCTCCTGCTAAGAGCGAGTCAGCTATGGTGCAACCACAAAGTGATCACCTTCCAACAGCTCCATTTCTGAACCCTTGAGGCTTTTGTGACATCTAGATCTAAGCCATAACAGAGAAGGACTGGGAGAAAATGGGACAAACGTATATGACAGATGAAGCACACACTTACGAATCGATAAAGAGGGCCGGGGATTTAGCTCAGAGGTTCTGCTGCCTGCCTCGCAATTCCAAGTTCCCGAGTTTGATCCCTGTTCCAAAAATCTTCCTGTAAATCAAGAAAAAAAAAGTAGAAAAATGGGCAAGGGATATAGACAATTTATAAATGAGGGAAAGAAAATACCAATGAACAAAAACAAAAAAATCCACACCCACGATAGTGATAAGAGAAAAACAAAATAAGACACCATCAGTTGTCAGAGTATCAGAAATTGATGGAATTGATAATGCATTGTTTTTTTTTTTTTTTGCAAGAGTGAAGAAAATAAATACATTAAAAAACTTTTGGTTTTGGAAACTGAAACAACTATTTTGAAGGCCAATTTGGCAAAACTGGTTACAGTGTTACAAGATCAGTAATTCTACTTTTCAGTAGCTATTCAGAGAAGCACCCTCTAAGGAGAACTATGTCAGTATGTTAACTAAAGCATAGTTTATAATGGTAAAAATTGAAATGTTTTCAACAATCAGCAGTGTTGTAACATATGTCAGAACATCATATTTTATAGCTAAATAATATCCGCTATAGGTTTCTACAGACTACATTTTGTTTATCTATTCATCTGTTAACAGGTACTGGTATGTCCAGCAGTACCGGTTGTTGTACTGTGAAAACGTAACAAATACCGGTATACAAGTATCTGTTTAGTCTCTTTTTTGTTGTTGTTTTGGCTATATACTTGGGAGTAGAACTGCAAAGCAATATAGTAACTCTATTATGTTTAACTTTTTTGAAGAATCGCTAAACTGTTTTCTACCGTGGCTGCATCCCTTCCAGTTCTCATCAGAGGTAAATGAGGGCTTTAGCCTTCCCACATGGTCACCAGTATTTGTTCTTCACCTTGTTTATAGCCATCTTAGTAGTTACGAAGTTGTAAATCATGTAGTTTTGATTTTCATTTCCCTAATGACTAATGATGTTGAATATCTTTTCATGTGCTTATTTAGCTGCCCACTTTTATAAATAATGTTTATTGGTGAATAGCTACATGGTTTTACTTATCTATTTTCTTTGGTCAGCTTTAATAACAGAGATGCATAGTGACACAAATTGTATAACTAAAAACCTAACATATCTCAAGATTTAAAAAAAAAGTTTAGACCATAAAAGCTATCAGTTATTTAAAAACTTTGAAATCATTCAAAGGAGAGTCTTTGTTTAAAATAGAATTGGATTAGAAATCACAAAAATATGAGAAATCAAAAATATTTTGAAATTTGGAATAATTTGGAAATTAAACAATACATTTGTAAATAATGAGCCAAAGAAAACGTCATAAGGTAAAATTAGAAAATATTTCTAACTTAATTACAACAAAAATATAACATAAAAATATTTATGGACATAACCATGCATTGGTTTGAAAAAGGAGAGTTTCCCCACAGTTTGGAAATAAGGCAAAGATGTCTTATCTTTGCCATATTCACTCAGTATTGTACTGGAGACTCTAACCAGAGCAATCAGGCAAGAAAAGTCTATTGAAGGCACACAAATTAGAAAGGAAATAAGTGAATTTCCTTTCAGATGTTATAAGAATCTATAAACATGTTATAATGAAAGTATTGAATTCTAATCATCGCAAGATACAACTTTATATGCAAAACTCAGCTGCATTAGCAAGTGATGGGTTGCCAGTTAGTTGCACTGGCAATGGACAACCCATACAGTGAAATCAAGAAATAAATTTCTATTCACAATAATATTAAAAGTAACAAAATACAGAGATAAATAAATGTAGTGCAGCAGCTAAATAGTAAATGCTGTAGAACATTGCATTAAAAACATTAAAGAGGGGCTGGGGATTTAGCTCAGTGGTGCCACTGCCTGCCTCATAAGTGCGAGGTCCTGGGTTCAATTCCCAGGACCAAAAATAAAAACAAATGAAAAATAAAAAAGAATGGAAGGAAAACAATAGAAACAAAGTTTAAAAAAAAAAAAAAAAACATTAAAGAGCCAGGGATTTAGCTCAGTGGTTCTGCTGCCTGCCTCACAAGCACAAGGACCTGAGTTTGATCCCTGGTACAAAAAAAAAAAAAATTAAAGAAAATTTCTATGGGCAGATGTTACAGTGTTTTAAAACCAGATTATGAGATGGTTGCCCAACCCTGTAATTTCATAAAAACCACAAAAAATGTACACTTATGGCGAGTTTTATGGGATAGGTTATATTTCAGTAAAGCTATTAAAGCATAAAGAAGAGATTCTTTTGAAATAATCTTTCTGAATACGGGTATTGGAATCCATTTGTATCAGTCAGATTTTATGTTGATACTTTTGAAATAAAAACTGAAGTAGTGTGAGTTTATGGAAGCTGAGATCTTTTTAGAATCCTTCAGTCTCTTTTAAAAGCTAACATTGATCATTGATTTTTTTTTAACCTCAAATACAATTATTTTTATGTTCATTGTTTTAAAAAACTTGGACTGTGGATTTTGTTAGTGTTATTTGTTAAAACTAGTATGTCCTATGTTGATTACCATTAGAAAAAGAAAATCGGTATTATGGATCAAAATGAAGTCAAAAGCTGTACATCTCTATAGATTATTTCACTATTTGGTATGGGAGGAAACAGTTATAATGAATAATTTTCTTCATTTGATGGAAGTTGACAAGTCAGATTTTCCACAGAAAGAGACCCTTTACCATTGTTGGTCTTGTCAGTGTGGAAAATTCACACATCACACAACCCTGCATTTAACATCTTTCTCTTAGTTGGGAAAGTTCCCTGTGAAGTAGCATCTGTCATATTAATTCAATTATTTTTTGACAAATGTGAAATTGACTTTTGGGAAACAAGTTTGATACTAATCTATATGATTTTAATTTTGTTTTGTTCTTAGAAGAACAATAAATAGGGCCAAGGATCTAGCTCAGTGGTTCCGCTTGCTTGCCTCATCTCTGATATCCTACATAAAAGAAGAAAAGTAAATGAAGCAGCTTTTATTTGGTTCCTACTGACAGTCTGACCCTAGGTCTTGGAAGTCCATGAAGAGAATTTCAGGAGAAATTTTGTGACTTTGTGTGCCTGTCACCTTTGAAAGGTCTAATGCTCTATAGCATTTTTCACATACTGATGACTAGAGATCAAGAGATGGGCTGATGGACTGGGGGGTATAGCTTAATCTAAATGCCCTGGGTTCAACCCCTAGTACTGGAAAAAACGTAAAAGTAGGAAATACCAACCAGGTATCTAAGTAAATCCTGAAGCTCCAAACCCACGTTCTCACTCCTGGATATGAGTGTCACCGACCATTCTCTAACACTGCAGCAGCTGACTCTGAAGCTCCGTATTCCCCACTCTCTTGGGTAGTAATCCAGTCAAATGATGAGGATACTTTGTTGAAAGATTTCCTAGGAACAAGTAATCAGGTGGACAGCCCTTTGTTTTTATTATTATTACTATTATGAAACAACTTATTTGTAAATTTTAAACTTTTGCTGTTTAAAAAATAAGGGAAAAGAAAAAATATGAGAAAATGAAAAAATGGAAATAAATTGTTTGTAAATGGGGAGGGGAGGAGGGGGTGAAGGGAGGGCAGGGACAAGGGGAAAAAATGAGAACCAAGACCTGTCATGTAGTGGTACAAGACCCCAATAAAGAATGTAACTGTACTGTATACCTAAAATGTACCAGTAAACTCAATTTTTTAAAAATGGATTGTGCATTTTAATAAATTAACAACACGTTGGAAAAGTCCTAACACAAAATACCAAAGGACACGAACAGATAATTGATGGAGAGAATATATGCTGAAGCACATATGAAAAAACTGTAATTAAACTATTGTCCAAAGTGAATGAAAATCTTTAATGAGTAGTTTAACACATATACACATAACCCATCACATTTACTCATCAAAATAATGCACACTGCTAAGGAAGGTGTTGGAAATAGGCACTTTCAAACAATGATTATAGGATGGCAGTGAATTTGAATGGAAACTGGGCATCAGAGCACTTCCAGAACCTTCATCCTGTGGACAGCCCTTTGTAAGAGTAACTTCTTCAGGAAGGAGAGTTGCAGGTAGTGCTGTCAGATGGCAAAGAGATCCTCAGATCAGAGATCTTGGCGTAGTAGCAGGAAGAGTTTAGAGACCATGCAGTCAAATCATTTGTTTTACAGAATGGAAAATGGAAACTCAGCTAAACAGACTTAACCCAAGGGGCAGCAGAAACTAAGTTCCCTCCCCATTATCTATCTGTCTTCCATTCTTCGTCACTAACAAGTCTGTGGTTTTGCTTAGGGTGGCAATATTCCCAGAATAAAATGATCACCTTGCCAGCTTTCCTTGCAGCTACAGGTGGACATATGACCTAATTCCCGGGAGATATAAACTAAGGTCAGTGGATGGGGCTGTGGGGAAAGTTTTTAAAAGGGAAGTGGCTTGGTTTTTGTGCCCTTTTTTCGTTCCCTTTCTCCCTACTGCTTGTAATTCAGCCATGCCAAAATCCACTCTGGGTGGGAAAAACTTTTAGGGGATTCTTTCTGATAATCCCTCAAATATTGATAATACTGGAAAGGAATGTATCCATAGATGTCATGGACCTTATTGGAATTCTATTGGACTTCCTTAAGGAAGCAAAGAACAGACATGAGGCGCCACAGAAACTTGATAAGGACAAAAAATGTCGAAGCTTTATATACAAGAAGCATTGCTATTGTGTCTTACCTCCTTCAGAGCCCTATTTAAGAAAATCCAGCATAATAACTGTTGCTGTTTGTCTAAAAGGGTATTGACTCATAGGAGGCAGCAACACTAACGAAGAAACAAAGTGCTGGGGCAGTTCAGAAGTAACAGTACTGGAGCTTTATGAAAGGGTGTGCAGAGAAAAATATTTTTTTTCTTGGTACGCGGAATCGAACTCAAGACCTTGCACTTTGAAGGCAGATGCGGTGCCAATGAGCTATATCCTCAGCCCAAAGAAACATTTTCAATGTGTCTGTTTGGGGATCTGGGCCAGAGAGGAGACATTAGAAAACGACTTCAAAGGAGAGGCAAACAAACAAAAACTCCTGTGGCTCACTGAGCCTGGGAAAACTCCTAGGTGTGTGTGAAATAGGTCATTCATTTCCACATTTCACACTATCCTCCTATGCTAAACCCAGGACAAATTCTGCCAAACAGCTTATGAAAAGAAGTTTCACTCCGTAGTAAATCCTGCTCAAGTCTAAACTAATTATCATTGGCATTTTTTTTTCTTTCAATTAAAACTCAAGCCTTCAACACTTTTCTCCTTTTCAAGAAAGGTAAGAGCCTGCCTAGAGCTGAGTAAAAGACCAGGGCTGACCTTAGCCTTTTCAAGGGAAGCCAAGATTGGCAGGTATGGCCTAAGAGGCATTTCAGCTGCAGCCTCTTAGGGAAGCTATTATAAATAGAAGTATAAAACGTGAGACGCTGCATGGTTTCCCTCAATCAAGGAAATAAATAATTAGAAACGCGAGGGTGTGGTAACTAAAGGTGAGAGTGTCGTGGAACCTTGCTGGCATACATGCGTTTTTTTAAAGGGAAAGTTGAGCATCAAGAGGGTATGTAGATACTATCGACCTTAATACACTGGGCGTTTAAAATACAATCCTTCTATTTGTTTTCATCTCAGGAACCCGGGCTCGGTCTTTGTCACCTATTGGATTTCAGGAAGGCTGACTTGAGAGCGGCGTGGCTGTTTCCTGGGCCTCCGCCCCCAGCGCAGGCGGCGGGTCCTTTGTTGTGTGTGCAGCGCTCTCTCTCTCCGCCTCGCACCCCGCGGTCCTCTCGCCCGGAGCCCGGCAGCCCGCGCC